AACCCACTCTGTCCTGGGCCTCCTTTTCTAGTTCGATCCGATTCTTGTTCAGCTTTTTCATGTCTATTTCCATTTCTCGGCGTAATGTGTTCTTTGGTCTTCCTCTTTTCCTTTGGCCTTGAGGATTCCATGTGAGGGCTTGTCTTGTGACGCAGTTGGGTGCTTTCCTCAATATGTGTCCAATCCACTTCCAGCGCTTCTTCCTGATTTCTTCCTCCGCTGGGATCTGGTTTGTTCTCTCCAACAGTACGTTGTTGCTAATAGTGTCCGGCCAACGGATCTGAAGTATTTTGCGTAGACAACTGTTAATAAACACCTGTATCTTCTGGTTGATGGCTTTCGTAGTTCTCCAGGTTTCCGCCCCATACAGTAGAACTGTCTTGACATTTGTATTGAAAATCCTGACCTTGGTGTTGGTTGACAGTTGCTTTGAGTTCCAGATGTTCCTCAGTTGTAAATATGCTGCTCTTGCTTTGCCGATCCGCGCCTTCACATCTGCATCAGATCCACCCTGTTCATCAAAAGGTCAATGTATAGGACTAAATTCCATTGATTTTGAAGTTGCTAGGTAATTGATGTAACATTTATTATCGTACTAAATAGGACATTTAAGTCATATTTGAGAAAAACTATGATCAGACAATGTTCTTATGAATGAAATAAACATATGCTTGAAAAATTTAGTATTTAGTCGTATCTACTGTTTATAATTTTATGATCAGGTAAATGATGTCACATCAACAGAACATACTATTTGTTCCCAAAGTTTTTTTAGTTTATAGGACAATAAAGAAAAGTCTACTAATACTATGCTATTCAGCTCAAAAAGCAGTGACTAGAATAGAAATCGTGGGACTTTTTATGTGAATGTTCCATGATTCAAGTATATTGTTACTTAAACGATGATTTGAAACCACAACTTATCTCTAAAAAGGAAGAATGTATTTGTATTTGCTTTAATGTCTCACATTAACTCGGCGCCAAAATACTATGCAACTATTCGATCAAATTTAGACGAAATTTTTAATTTATTATTCTGAAACTATCACTGTTTAAATCTTCAGTGTTATCCACTAAGTTATGATATTCATATCTTGATCAAAAGGGTATTACTCATTATAAATATTCCTGTTTGTGTTGTTGTTTTACGGCATTGAATAATGTAATAAAAGAAATAAGGCATACTTAATGATATCAACTTTGAAATAAATAAAAACTACATGTATAATGATAATATTCGTTGAAATTCAACTTCATTGTATCTATTTACTATCATAACTATTACTAGAAATAAAAGTTTCTTTGGACAGAAAAACAACCTTGCTAAAAAACGCTAACTAGAATGAACAAATCAAATCATGTATTCTCTTCCCTTCAAGTTGAAGGGAGAATTATGACGCTACAGGTTGAAAGCCGAGATTCTTCGAAAGTCACGCAAGTGATGTCCATTCTAGCAAACAGAGCACGAATTTTTATAGGTACACCGAATGCCTGCACAATATGGGAGACCAAGAGGACAAGTCAACTAGATGTTGAAATGAGGAGATACAATTTGACGGTGCTCGGAATAAGCGCAACCCACTGAACTCAAGCTGCACAGCAAAGGATAGATGCTTGAGAGATGCTGCTGTACTTCGATCACGAATGAGAGAATGATCCACACGTTAAAGGAGTTGCTCTGATGCTGTCCAAAGAAGCACAAAATGAACCTAGAGGATAGGTATCTCATAGATCCAGGATTAACAAATTATCATTCAAAGCACAAAAGAAAGGAATCACAATGAACGTTATTCAACGTTATGCACCCACCAATGAGAGTAGAGACGACGATTAAGATCATTTTTACGAGAATTATGAAGACTTTCACATCTGGGCAGAAGCACGGAATACAATGGGCAGCTTGGATGCAACCAGACGACTTGGATTTCACAGATGACCTAGCACTTCTATCCCATACACACCAACAAATGCAAATGAAGGCAACTGGTGTAGCAGCAGCCTCTGCATCAGTAGGCCTCAACATACAAAAGGGAAAATGAAAGATCTCCAAATGCAACACGTACAACACCAATCCAATCACACTTGATGAAGAAGCTCTGGAGTATTTCACTTACCTGAACAGCATCGTCGATAAACAAGGAGGATCTGATGCAGACGTAAAGGCAAGGATTGGCAAACAAGGACAGCACTCCTACAGTGGAAGAACATATGGAACTCAAAACAACTGTCAACCAATATCAAAGTGAGAATCTTCAATACGAACGTCAAGACAGTTCTACTGTGCGGAGCTGAAACTTGGAGAACTACCACAACCATTGCCAAAATGTACAGGTATATATATATATATATATATATATATATATATATATATATATAAACAATTGTCTACGAAGGGTACTCGATGTCCGTTGACCTGGAACCATGAACAAAAGCCTACTATGGGAAAAAACAAACCAGCTTCCAGCTGAAGAGGAGATTAGGAAAAGACACTGGAAGTGGATAGGACATGAAATTATGGAAATCACCAAACTGCATCATGAGGCAAGCGCTAACTTGGTATGCTGAAGGGAAGCGGAAAAGAGGAATGCTGAAGAACACACTGCATCGAGAATTAGGAGAAGACATGAAATGGAACGATTGTCCCGTACAGAGTTTGATGGAGAATGCTGGTGGGCGGCTTATGCTCCTCCATGAGGGGTTACAGACAGAAGTAAAATCTGGCTATAGAGTATGGAATCCAAGATGAAATGTGGCAATTTAGGGTACTATACTCTGAAATAATTAACAGCAATTATCGGCAAAACAATCACAGGAAGCAACTCAAATGAGAATACTAATGTTCGAGTTCAAAAAGATGATAGAGTGGAAAGCTTTACCAAAATTAGGTTGCCTTTGGGTGATACAATTGGCTTTTACCAGCCGCAAGGTCTTTTGCTCATCATACGAGTCAGATTAATTTGCAATACATTTAGTGACTTGTTCGATATGTCTGATTCAACAAACTAAAGAGGTTTACTGAGTTTCTTATCTAAACCAGTGTCCTACTTAGACGTAGACTATGAATAATTATGGCTAATGGACAAAGGAACTACTCAAAGTCTATGCTAATCATGATAGCTTCATTCAAAGTGACTGTAGAGTGAATTCATTCTACTTTTAAGATTCTGATAAGCAGAATGCCCTAGATCTAGGTCTTGTGTTAGTTTACTCGGGTTGGCAAGAATCTAAAAATCTGACGAAATTGATGCCCGACGAGTCACAACTAATTTACCGGAGGTTCTAGAAAAGGCGTGACGGAAAAGCTATAAAAATCAAACGACAGAACAATATAAGGATTTTGAGTAGTTGAAAAGCATTTAACTTCCTGTAATCTAATACTGATTGTATGACTGAATTAAAAGTAACACTAAAATGTAACTTCGAATAAAATCCATAAATAACGATGCTAGTAAATACCAGTGCAAATGAAAACAGGTTCTTTCTAGAAGCTTGCACAATGTCAGCGAGTTCAAACTTTAACGTTAAGGTAGGTACGTCAAGCCCCCCCCCCAAAGCATTAGTGGCCAATCTATTTTTAGGTTAAACTTTTAGACCTTTTTTGCAAGTATTTTAGACTTACAATATTGGACTATTCTCATTGTTGAATCCCCGAGTCAATATGAAGTTTGTTTACATTCTCTGCACCAACACCCATCCCATCAACTCTCTTGGTGTACTGTTTTATACTACTTATTAATATTCAGTAAACAGTTGTATTCCTAGCAATTTCTATGTGTATGTTGTAACACAAGTTTATGGTGTACTAATCTAAATTTTTTACGTCTACTTATAACATTTATTGTATTTATTATTATAATAACTTTTTCTCAATCCTCGTAGCAGTTGTTCGCAATTTTTCATAGCCGTTTAATCCTTTTTTAAACGCAACGGTTTCTATATTATTGCCCTTGGTTTCGTTTTGACTTGTTGATAAACTGTTATCAGCTGTCATTTGCACTATCGTGTCATAATTATTGTGTACGTTGGCGTTGTAGGAGACCCTTTTTATTTCACTTACAGACGCGCTAAGAGCCATAGATACCTCACAAGTTGAGGTTTGTAACAAACTTACGTATATTACTCAATAGAGAACAATTTTTTAGACAAATCGCTGTTTTGTGAACTTCGATTTCGAGGGTATCTCAACTGTGTGATTAGACACTTCCATAAATTTAACAGTCGATCTGAGCTAGACTCGTGAATTCAATCTTGAAACACTACAATCTCCACAAGTTTTAATACTAATAATATTGGATTAGCAGCGAAGGATAATGGCTCCGACCAGAAGCCGACCGTATATGATGTAATTCGCATTATTTTTATTGAAGACAAAATCGCCCAATCTAACTGATATTATCGGTATTTTAAAACTTTCAGTAAATTTTTTTTCTGACATTGGTCGGTTTGATCGAAAGCATGAATCGATTGACGTTAGACCACCAATGAAAACCTGGAGGCAATGGACGGCCGTTTCGATCTAGTACATAACTCCTCAGTAGTGCGCACCCAGGATCTTCGGTCACACTCACGAACGCTTGACTTCTAGGCCACTGAGCCGAAACTCAATGGTTTTAATGTCTAACTTCAAACAGTCCATGAAGTTGCTCGACCATCTACCATCGTCTGAGGTAGATACCTATTTCTAACTAACGTGGATTAGCTCCGCTGGTCACGGCTTCGCACTAGAACTTGTGGATGTGCATTGCTAAGGAGTCTCATACTAAGACAAAACGGTCGTTCGGTGCTTCCAGGTTCTTAATGGTGATCTAACATCAATCGATTCATGATCTTAATCAAAAACTTAACAACTTCCACAACCCCATATTGATAATAGTCATTTTATTCACTATAAAGCAAAATAACAACAATAGAGAATCTAAGCAATTTTTTATGTAGGTGTAAAAAATGATATACATGCCATATTTGGATTGTAATGATGAGAATTACATAGAAATAATTATTTAAGGAGGCATACGTACACCTCCATCCAATCGAATTACTGTCCCATTAAGCATTGGATTACAGATGATAGATTCAACAAGTTTTGCAAATTCTTCAGGTTTACCTATACGATTCGGGTTTAATGAAAGCTTTTTCAACAATTCTGCATTTGGCACGGCGTTAAGTAATGGGGTATCAAATAATCCTAAAGAAACATAATTTGAAAAATTGATAAATGCAACGTATATCTGTAAGTGGCTGTGTACAAAGGTTATATATTCTGTTTGTGTATTGTCTAAGCACGATTATATACACACAAAAAAAGCAAAATATGACATAGTCTTATAAAAATATAAGTCTCCCTCCGCCATCAAGTCTTAAGGTAACACCGTTGATCATTGGATTTTGAAGAATGTTCATTACACAGGAACTAAATTCATCCGGTTTACCCATACGCTGTATCGCCAATTGAATATCATTTAAATAATCGAGTTCAGAATGACCAAATCCACGCTCTCCCAGTATTGTCTTCGTATTCATTAGACCTATGAAATTTAATATTGTGATAAGCCGCTAAAAAACACTATATTAGAAAATAATGTAGTGATCATAGTTAAGTATGGATAACTTTCTTAACCCTACGATAAATTTTGTGGTTTAATTCGATCTAATACAGCATTAGTGATCAGTTAATTAATTTCAAAAGTATTACTATTATTATTACTACTACCCTGAATAACTTATTTCAATATTCTATTTTTGTGCAATATAGAACTCTTAACACAAAGTATTTCAACAAGTTTCCTTTCCTTATTTCTTGATTGATTTAGACGATAAATATTAAGTGATCGCCAGTTATATGATAGCAGTTCAGGAATTGACATCTGAATAAGGTCCATCTTTTTTCAATGCATATTGCCAGCCACAATGATGTCTGTGAATGTACTTTTTTATAACTTGTACAACGAAAGGTCGTAAGCTTTTAATGAACCCCCCTGAATGAGCTTAAACAATAAACAGACATGATGATGTGTTAAAACAAAAAAACCCAAGATAACTCGTTGAAATATCTAAAAGACAGGAAAAGATAGCCCAGATATTCAAACAAGCATACATATACATACATTTAGAATAAGACCAATACGCGAAGCGAACAGTGTACATCAATATAAAAGATTCAAAACAGTACAATAAGCCAAGGAAACAAATTGCCGAAATAATAGGATAAATAAAGAGTGAATATATTTGTTGTGAAGTAATGATTTTTAGACCTGTCACATAAGTTTATAGATTTATCAAGATCTTTGATTTCTATACGCACACATGATAAATGTAGGAACTTACTTCCGTCTGTTACCCCTCATGGAGGAGCATAAGCCGCCCACCAGCATTCTCCATCAAACTCTGTACGGGACAATCGTTCGTTTTCATGTCTTCTCTTAATTCTCGATGCAGTGTGTTCTTCGGTATTCCTCTTTTCCGCTTCCCTTCAGCATACCAAGTTAGCGCTTGCCTCATGATGCAGTTTGGTGATTTCCGTAATTCTATGTCCTATCCACTTCCAGTGTCTTTTCCTAATCTCCTCTTCAGCTGGAAGCTGGTTTGTTTTTTCCCATAGTAGGCTTTTGTTCATGGTTCCAGGTCAACGGACATCGAGTACCCTTCGTAGACAATTGTTTATGTATATATATATACCTGTACATTTTGGCAATGGTTGTGGTAGTTCTCCAAGTTTCAGCTCCGCACAGTAGAACTGTCTTGACGTTCGTATTGAAGATTCTCACTTTGATATTGGTTGACAGTTGTTTTGAGTTCCATATGTTCTTCCACTGTAGGAGTGCTGTCCTTGTTTGCCAATCCTTGCCTTTACGTCTGCATCAGATCCTCCTTGTTTATCGACGATGCTGTTCAGGTAAGTGAAATACTCCAGAGCTTCTTCATCAAGTGTGATTGGATTGGTGTTGTACGTGTTGCATTTGGAGATCTTTCATTTTCCCTTTTGTATGTTGAGGCCTACTGATGCAGAGGCTGCTGCTACACCAGTTGCCTTCATTTGCATTTGTTGGTGTGTATGGGATAGAAGTGCTAGGTCATCTGTGAAATCCAAGTCGTCTGGTTGCATCCAAGCTGCCCATTGTATTCCGTGCTTCCGCCCAGATATGGGGGTCTTCATACTTCAGTCAACTACCCGAAGAAAGAAAAAGGAGGAGTGGGCAGCCTTGTCTGACTCCGGTCCTCACTTAGAATATATCAGTCAGTTGTTCTCCATCCACGACTTTGCACTTTAGTTCGGCCTGTGAATTCCGGATGATTATGACGACTTTCTCAGGTGTACCATAGTGTCGAATAAGGTTTCATAAGACTCTTATAGTCAAAGAAGTTGATGTATAGTGACGAGTTGCATTCAATGGATTGTTAAACAAGAATCCTTAGTGTTGCTATTTGATCTGTGCACGACCGATTTCTACATAATCCGACCTGCTGACCTCGAAGGTGGACTTCCATTGAATCTTTCATTCGGTTCAGCAACACCGTTGAAAACGTATCCTGGTACTGATGCAAATATGATTATTCTGGTTCTCCGTAATGTGATGCAGTGAGACACATGTAGCTTTGTGTATGCGTCTGTTAGTGCCAACTATAACCACTTTTTAAGGGATTCGCAAATCTCATGCCATTTTCGTTCCCTTCTCCAGTCTATTTCATTCCATCATATCTTCTCATCTGGTGTTATCTGTCCTGAACTTGGTGTTCAAGTCTCCCATCAGGAAGACACGGTGATGAAAAGTAATATATTTTAAACACTGAAGCCATCAAAACTAGTAGTATTAATAATCAAAGGCATTGACATTGAACTAAACAACTGTTATCAACTGACCTGGAGCAATGGAAACACACCGAATCCCTTCTCGTGCAAGATCACGAGCAACTGGCAGTGTAAGACCAACAATTCCACCTTTACTTGCGGAATAAGCAGCTTGTCCAACTTGACCTTCATATGCTGAAATACTCGCAGTATTAATTATTACACCACGTTGATTATCAGCGTCTGGTTCATTCGCTAACATTAAACCAGATGCAAGTCGAATCATATTGAAAGTACCGATAAGGTTAGTCTATTAAAGATAACAGAATTAATTTTATATATTCTTGACAGAATTTGTTAAGCAGATTTAACAAGCTTCTCCAAAAAACGAAAAAGTGAACATATATGACATATTAACATACATAACTGCAACTTGATAGATTTCTTACAATAGAGTGTACTTACTTTGAATCTGTTAGGCATATTATATGTCATACCGCTTACATAGTGATATTATGCATGCACTTTAAATGAAAATTGCACATATCCATTGCTATTAACATTGTACAAGCCAGAATTACATGAATGATATATTGACGGAATACTATGGAAACATGATTGAATTCACAAACTGTGAAAACAAAGGACGCAGATCTATTGATGACATCACTACTATTTTCACGTGTTAGCGGGATATGAATTGGATTAAGGTATATTCCGCTTAGGATTGTGTTGGAGTACAATGAATAAGAACACAAGTAGGGACAACCAATTGTGTTTGAATACAAAATTACGGAATCTCTTGGTAAAATGTGAGAACCATACATGGAATACTTCATTTGCAAACTTCCATCATTTGTCCTTCACATTCTGCATGATTATTCCTATTCGCAATCCCTTTCTATTCTCTCCAACTTGATCTTATTAGCCTTCTGCTGTCAGGGTACCCACTTCCGATTGGTGTTACATACTACTTATGTCGACAGACATAAACAGCATTATTATTATTATTTGAACACATAGATATAGGCACAAGGAGGCGCCAAATACATATGCGGCACACAAATCAAATGAGATTTGTGTGAGGGCTGTGATAATGCTCGGGTGCCCAAACCGAAGCAAATGGTTTTCTTAGGAACACACACTCGGAGCCTTTGACCTAAACCTCTAATCCACAAGGCAGTGGAGCATCGTAAGGAAATGCAGTCCCATGGTAGTCAGTGACCAACGATTGTTTCATACGCCATTTGTTCCTTCAGGATACTGGAGCCCATGTGCACTATTGGTTTGGAGTCAGGGTTTTCCAACTCATCTAGGTGTACTTTCCATGTCTACCAACTTCGTAAACAACAACCTCGCCATGAGGATGCAGTGAGTAAGACTTTCCTGGCAAAGGCTATATACGCGTGGCCGTGTGAGAGCATTCCGAGAGGGTGAGCGAACTCTCCCCACTTTCGGCCGTACCAGGGCACTTGGCGGGAAAGCGGCTAGCAGTGGAGTCCAGGACGCGCGTTTCATCCTTATTGGGGACTCGCCGGCTGAATGTGCCTGTGTTTCAGAGTTGATTTTCACCTCAGGACTCGAACCCAGTGCCGTTCGCTTTACACGCCATCGCGTTATCCACTTAGCTATACTTAGCATACACACAGGGGCACGCTGATTGGATACTTGGAGAAGACTCTAGAATCATCTGGAAAAATTATAAATATACTAACGTTTTCCTCATTGTGATTCCTAATTACATCCACCCTTGTTATTTGGAATATAATTACGTTCCTGTTCAACCATGTTCTGATCTGGGGACGTGTCAAGTGAGGAAGTATCCTAGAAATACTAAATAATACGAGTAGCTGGGTCGTAATGAGAGAAATAATAACTTGTTTCAAAAGTTCTGATGACACTAAGATTTATGGGAATTAACGAACACATGCTTTAGACCCTCTATTTTTACGAGAAACACATGTAGGGGATGAAATCACTGAACAGAACCCGCTTAGTAAGGGTTAATTTAAGATGTGGTGGATTTTTATCAAAGGACTCCATTTTTAATCATGGGGCAGAAGCTTTAAATTATTATCTATCAGCTTTAGACAGACTACCCTCATACAGTTTGGCTTAAAGCTGAACGCATAGGTTACATTAATATAATGTTTTACAAACATTTTGCTTTTAAATTTAAACTTTAAAAACTTTAACTCACTCCCTATACACTTGTATGAAGCACACTAAACAAGAGGGCTAACAATACTACCCGGTTGGCCAGAAGAAATGGATGGAGGAGTTTTCGAACTAAGGATTTAGTGACCGAAAGTTGAATGCCTTAACCACTAAACCACCACTACACATCTTGAAAAAAAATTTGCAAACCCACACACCAACCTTTATTATGTTCTCGAATAAATCCAGTGGATGAGGTTGTCGCCGTTTGATATTAAATGTTTTACAGGCCACTGCCGATCCAGCACAATTAACCAGAATATGGAGTTTTGAGAAATTTTTCTTGGCCAAATCTACAGCTTTTATTGCATCAGATTCCGAGCTAACCTGAGAGATGAAAATAATAGTAATAGTCATATAGGTAACTGTATTTTGTTTAAGTAATCAAAGTTATTGCATGCACAGAACAACTTACATCTGTTTCACAATAAACACAATTACTGCCTAGTTCTGATAACACAGGAGACTTTTGTAAGTCACAAACTAACACATTGCACCCTTCAGCAATTAATCTACAAATAAAATAAAGTTGCGATTTGAAAATGCTAACTTTTTAGTTGTAGCCAGCCCAAGTCCTGATGATCCTCCGGTTACGATTGCAGATAATCCCTAGAAATTTTGATTACGAACAATCTGCCAAACTTTTAATGAGGCAAACATGATCACCCAGATTCTACTAAGTTGGTTTGTGTGAATGTACAGTTGTTTTTTCCAATTTCTAGAGAGAAAGACTCAAAATTAAGATGAACAACAAACAAAATGGAACGTGTTAAACATAAAAACTGCTTTCAAAAAATTGGTTATCGCAAAACAATAGAATAGGGACCCACTAACAAGGAGCTTCGCACAAAAATACATTGGTTCAAACTGTAAATTTATACAGCAGTGAAAGAAATATTACTCATGCCTAGCTTTTCATTGAAGTTGATATTATATACCACATTGCGCTTCTTGTCTTGCCATACTGGAGCGATGTACACTAACGTTACGTCCTATATTGATAATTGACGAAAATGATTAAGTTGGAAGGATAAGATGATATTAAATTTACCATGTGTTAGCGGGACATAGACTGGATTAAAGCATGCTCAATGCACGATTGCTTTGGTGCACGCTGAGTGGCTAATTCTTATCCAATCAGCACTAGTCAATACTTGGAGAATACGTTAGAATCTTCTCATGTAAAAAACTATAAATATACTAACGTTTTCCCTATTGTGCTTCTTACTTCCATCTAACCTTGTTATTTGGAATATAATCTCTTTCCTGTTCAACTGTGTTCTGATTTGGGGACTTGTCGAGTGAATCGGTGTCCAAGAAAACTAAGCAATAGGAATAGCTGGATCATAACCGTAAGAAAGAGATTATAACACCATGTAAGTTCAAAAACGAAAATGATTTCTCAGAATTTGATAGGTAAAAATAAGGTTAGTTGAATTGCGTCATGTGGCCTGTCCCGATGCATACGGATTCCAGATGGTAACCGGCGTCTGTCGGCATGAGATGCTTCGGGAGTGGCAGCCGCCATTTGGGAGGATGAGGATGTTATCTTTATTAGCTGGGGTCTGGAATCCCCGTCCTTCTTAGATAATCGTGCCGCTTTTTGGACCAATATGTCAGCTTCAAGTTCAATCCACTCCAGGATATCATGGTCTGCATAATCAGTGTCTGTGTTTGTTGGAACACCTTGCACAATAACACTTTTTCCACGAAGAAACGTGGAGCAAGATTCTTTAGGGATTTTCCTGGTTAGACTGCTCTTAGAATATAACATATCATGCAGTATTTCTATATCCCTTCCTGATTTCAACAATTGACTGGCCAGTAGAAAGTCCTCTACTTCGACACTGGTGGCGGACGTCAAACGAGTTTTAGGCTATTTTGCTGTTTGGTATCCTTTACCAGAGTAATCCGTGTAACCGTTAGTGGCTCAATTTAGGGGTTTGGGGATTCCTGTTTAGCTCTTTCTAAAGCGTCTGTCGTTTGCGTTCTGTAGACTGAAAGGAAGCTCAAATTATGAGAGAATCATCGCGAACTGTGATCGCTTTCCCGGGTTTTGAGTACATTAAGGTTAGTGTCCATTTAATTGAATTAGATTGCGGTCTGGCTGGTTGGAAAATCTCGGGAATATATTACACGACTGATCCATTAGCTGATTCTCTTACAATATCTGGGCTGTCCAGCATTTTTGACGGTGGCATTTGATGCATTTCCAGTTGCTTACAGTGGAAGTTCTGAGGATCAAAGTTTCACTTGGGGAGTTCTTCCTGGAGGACACGAGTGTACTGGGAGTCTAACACTATCAACGTCATAGAGGTGCTGAGTTGCTCCACCTAGATTAATGTTATCTAAAACTCCCTTTTCTACCGTACTGCAAATCTGTTTGTTTGTTCGTTTCAGCACTGCCATTTTAAGAATTGCTAACTATTCTTCCCACAGACCTGTCAAGAAAATGGTGATATTGCTCAGCAAACTTGCAACATTTCTGTTGTATGTACCACACACCCAATTAAGACCTGACTTACCAAATCTGTTGTGAGCAGTTACTCTAAGAATTTTGAATGCTTTGCGTTTGTTCCACTGCCTGTCGCAAGTGACAGGAAAACAGGATTCAGATCATCGTCAGGTGTAATTACTGGCCATGGTAAAATAAAAGTTGTTAAGCAAATCCTAGTAACAGATTACGACCGTGAAAAAATTTGCTCAGAACTGGTAAGAGCGGATATCATAAAAACTTGAGATATACTAAAACTAGCCTCGACGTGAAAAACCATAAAAATCAAATGGAAATTACTATTATTTGAACACATATTAGTACAAATGGGCACCAAATATATATGCGCAAATATATTTGAGGGAAAATTACAACTAACCATTAACCCGGATAAAACTCAAAAAGAAAAGCGATATAGATGGTAAACCCACGACGACAGATTTTGTGGATCAAAAACGAGACTTATGTTGCGTAGGCACAGCAAAAATTCGGGATATGTAAATCAAGATGGGTCAATACTTCTCGTTCAGTCGTCAGTAATAAGGATAGGAGGTCTGTCGACCTATATTAATCCTAGATATCGCAAGACTGATTATTTGATGACCGAATAGAAGGATATGAGATCATAAAGTATCGTGCCACTTTAGTGTTTCTAGCTGTAAACTTAATCCCAGGGTCACACCTTTCTATCGAAATTACATGCGGCCGGCTCTAACATATATAAAAAAGACTAACGAGGACTCACGTTATTATATCAAAACCAGTGATACCGCCCAGTTCAAGGTCAATGAACTGAAGAGTTGAAACCACTTTTCATTCAAAAGTGTGAGACCTTATCTGATCTTTTCAGAGTTTCGCCTACAAATTCGCTTTCTGTTACGCGTCCACCTGTAGGCTGTATGTCTAGGTAACCTTTCAGTATCGATATCGTATCGGATATTCTGGTGTTTCAAACCCTCCTGGCTTTAAAAAGGATATTCACTAAGTTAGATACTAACATGTTCACCACAGTATACAAATCCTTAGTGAGAACTATGCTAGAGAACTGCGTTCAGGATGCAAGCTTCTGTTTAAAAGGTGACTCGGACATACTAGAAAAAGTACATAGAGCAGTTAACCGTGCGATTCCGGAACTCCGCGGCTTTAAAAACTGGACCTCTTTACTCTGTTCTATCCCAGACTAAGGGGAGATCTAATTTTGATGTACAGAATACTGAGAAATGATTTCAACCTAACTTATTCTCTCTCTTCCCACTTGATCGGGACACCTCAGAGGACATAGTAAGCGAGTAGAAAAGTCAAGAACGAAAAAATACCCGTGTCATACAGGTTTTCACACCGAGTCATCAATGCTTGGAACCTGCTGCCTGAAGCAGTGATGTCCGCACCTTCAATTGACTCTTTCCAGAGAAGACTGGACACTCACAGAAGCATACGAGAAAACGAATAACATAGGCCTTAGGCGTTCTGTACTTATTACACAAATCTGAATCTGAAATGTCTCTGAATTATCTAAAATTACAGAAGGCAGCTACCTGTGCAATTTCCAAACTCCGTGGTTTATCATACAAAGAGCGGTTTGAAAAGCTAGACCCCCTTACTCTGTCCTATCTCGGGCTAAGGGGAAAACTAATTTTGATGTACATAATACTAAGAAATGATTTTGGACCAAATAAATCTTCTCTTTTTCAACCCGCTAGATCGGGATATCTCAGAGAACATAGCAGGAGAGTAGAAAAGCCAAAAACGAAATAAATACCCGTGTCATACAGGTTTTTACACCGAGTCATCAATACTTGGAACCTGTTTTCGGAAGCAGTGGTGTCCGCACCTTCAATTGACTCACTTAAGAGAAGACTGAACGTTCACAGAAGCATACTAGAAAAGGAATAACATAGGCCATAGGTCTTCCGTACTTACTACACAAATCTGAATCTGAACCTGAATCATCATTTGAATCTGATCTTGGACACTGTCCCATTTGAATGACGGGCCATGGGGAGGCACAAAATATGGGCCTCTGTTTATGATTTTAATCAAGTCCAGAGCTGTTAAAGAACCATCAACATGCTATCAACCCTCATGTTCAAGGTAAATCGGCAACTAATTTGTCAGAATTATGGTCCACGCTAATCAAACAGTATAGGATTGTTGTGAGGAAGCCGTTATTCCATTAGTTAATGTCTTGAATTCTTGTCAAATATTTGGAGTTGAGAGATTCTATGTTATTGAAGACTCGAAATCCATAATTACTTCATTATCTTACCATGCATTGTGAATCTGTGTTCACCATTATATTTGAAGATAACGAATTTATATCGACAACTCAAAAAGCAGTACACATTTGTCTATAAGATAGAGAATACTTGTCAAATGACATTTGGTTGTGAGCTCATAGACCAACTAAAATACGAATAGTAAAACTCATGACTACTCTTGAAACGAACCTAAGCTAGCTCATTGACTTCATCAGTGGGACTTTCAAAAACCTTTGCTGATAAAGGATCGGGAAACTTCAACGCAGTTTCAAATGATTTATTGTTTGATCATTAGAAACTGGATTTTGAGTTTGTGTTTGGAATAGTGATACGCTGAAAACATCAGCTTTCGTTTGATCGCATCGAGTTAACTTCAGTCGAGTCATACCTGGTCGTGATTTGGTCGCACAGTCTACTCCCAAGACTGTTCGTCCGGTCAAAAAAGAGCCCAAGCCTAAAAAAAAACACTGACCTCCAAACAGCAAGTCATTGAACATAAATCCGCCGTGAAACCTGGTAAATTAACAACAGTTCGTGACGACTCTCTCATTATCATGAACCTCGTTGATAATCCTGACCTTCCTCTCAGTCTGCAGGACAAAAACGACAGGATGCTCTGAGGTGAATTGAACAAGATGCTCAACCTTCCTAGAATAGAGCCTTTGATTGTCACCCGGCTCTCTAGAGGATAGGAGTCTAAGCAACTAAATCACCCAAGGCTTCTCCGAGTAACACTTAAGAATGCTACCGATGTAGAGGACGTCTTACTAGCAAGTCACTTGCTGAAATCAGATGGTAACGTAAGAATATTGCCCGACATACCGTTCTCTGAGCGCAATATCATACGAAACATCCCAAAAGAATCTCGCGAGAAGATTTTCCGCGGAAGAAACATAATTGTGCAAGGTATACCGGAAAATGCAGACCCTACTCAATCAAATTCTGACATCAGGGAATGGAAATTCATCAAACAGTCCTTGAGGCTCAAACACATACTGAGTCAGCATGTGACGAGATTAGCCAAGAAGGACGGTGATCTTAGACTCCGTCTAATGAAGATAACCTTCCCATCTTCCCATATGGCGGCTGCAGTTCTGGAAGCATTTCGTGCCAACAGACGTCGATTGCCATCTGGAATCCACATGCACCCGGATAGGCCATATGAAGCCAGGACCAAGCACAAAGGCAAGTTGGAGCTGACCATTTCACTTGTGGATTGTCTAAACGATAAAAAACGTGTAAAGCACAGGGCCTACCACCTCGGTAAACCTCACATAGGTGGGCTACATGTCCATTCACATAAGGCTCATACAGAAAAACAGGACGAAGCTCACGCGTTCCAAATCGAAAGCATAAACTGCTAATATATGAACGTCTCGAGTCTACCGAACAAACTGGATGAATTACGTGAACTTTGCAACGCTAATAAAGCCCACCTGATAGGAATATCTGAAACCTGGATATCTTCTCAGTTCTCGGACCAAGAGTTAGCATTACCAGGGATGACTTTGTTCCGCAACGACAGAACAACAGGAATTGGGGGCGGAGTAGCCATATACATAATCTCTTGCCTGGAGGTGAACCAAGTTCACAACCTCGAGTTTAACAATCTTGAGGAATCCATATGGTGCTCTGTAAGATTGTCTAGCACTTCGAGGTGTCTAGTCGGTGTCATTTACGGGAAGCCAACTGCTGACATCGAGTACGATAGTCGTATGCTGGATGGACTATCCCGCTCTACCCGTCTCGGTTTCACACATATCCTGATTCTAGGGGACTTTAACCTTCCTAGAGTCAACTTCGTGGAACACACGTATACTGGAGGTGACAACTCAATTGAACCTCGGTTCTTCAACCTCATCGATGACTTGGGCTTATATGAAAATGTGAGGTCGGCAACTCGTTGGAGAAACAGTCAGACACCATCGCGGTTAGACTGTGTATTCACAAACGAAGAATTCCTAGTTGACAACCTCTCAATCCTGGCTCCTCTGGGAAAGAGCGATCATGCCGTCATAGCCCTCAGTTTTGTCACCAAAACTAAGCTAAGGTATCCCAACAATAATTTGCGTTGGAATTTAAAACGGCTGAATGTGCCAGCTCTACATGACTATCTACAACAGGTGGTTTGGGATGTTCACCCCCAACTCGATGTGGACGGTCATTGGGACTTCTTACTGCACACGCTCTTATGTGCTACAAACCATTCAGTTCCTCAAACGGTTCCCAAAAGCTGTAAGCCACCTACAATAATCAAGAACCGTACCCTTCGCCTGCCAAGCCTTAAAAGGCACTGTTGGGCGGAATACAAACGAACTGACAACGACGGAGCGTATAGGCAATTCAAACATATCAGGAACATATGCACGAAGGCTATAAGAGAAGACAGGCTTCATTATCAGACAAAGCTTATGGACAAATTTGCCTCGAACCCTAGAAGCTTATTCCGTTTTGCAGCCTCTCTTCGTCAAGCCAAAACAGGAGTTTCTCAACTGCTAGGTCTTAACGGCCCGACCAACAACGATGGTGACGCCGCTAACCTTCTGGCGGCACATTACTCTCAAACATTTCAGCCGGCTGACATCAACTCTATTGACGACAGTTTCATCTGCAATTCCACAGGGCTTTCCGAAGTGGACTTAGGCGCTGTTTTGGTGTTCCGGAAACTGCAGCACTTAAGACTAGATACTTCTCCTGGCCCGGATATGGTTCATTCTGCCATACTGAGGGAGGCAGCCTCAATCCTGGCAACGCCACTTAGCGTGATGTTTTCACACTCGCTAAGCCAAGGCAAACTACCGGAAAATTGGAAGTTGGCTCACATCACACCAATTTTCAAAGGGGGTCGACGCAATGAAACTTCAAGTTATCGGCCGGTGGCTCTTCTGTCATTACCTTCAAAACTCATGGAGTCCCTGATATGCGATGGTTTAAACGATTATCTACTGTCCTTAAATTTCTTCTCACCCCAACAGCATGGTTTCAGGAAGGGTTACTCTTGTATAACCAACCTGCTGATTGCGGTGGACAGATGGACAAGCATCCTCGATCGCAAGGGAAAGGTTGATATCATATACCTTGACTTCTCAAAAGCTTTTGATAAAGTTAACCACTTGTGTCTTATCAACAAGCTCAAACGACTAGGTATCAAACCACCTCTAATCGATTGGCTTACTTCATACCTAGAAAATCGACACTTTATGGTTAGGGTTAATTTCACTTTATCTCAGGCTATGGAATGTCCTAGTGGGGTCCCCCAGGGCTCAGTATTAGGGCTTCTTCTCTTCTTGATCTACATAAACGATCTTCCTCAACAGGTAACGTCAGACTTATTACTTTTTGCCGACGACGTGAAACTTTGGAGAGAGATACGCAAACAAGACGATACACAGGCACTTCAGGAGGATCTGACTCGACTTCAAAATTGGGCAGATGATAACGGACTTACGTTTAACACTTCAAAGTGTAAAGTAGTCCATCTGCGACCTGTCGCAGACTACAGTTATAACTTAGGAAACTCCTCTCTAGTAGTATCCAAAGTCGAAAAAGATTTAGGAGTCCTGGTGCCCCATGATTTAAATTCTTACGCTAATTGTGACAAAAATGCCTTCCGAGCAAACCTTGCACTGTAACATTGAAGCGCATTTTTGACCAGTTTGACGGAAGAACTTTCCATACAATCTTCAATAGTTTTATCCGTCCCCATTTAGAGTACGGAAATATAGTACTCCCCCCTCACTCCAAAAGGACAAGGTCACTTTGGAGCGTATCCAACGGCGAGCCACGAAATCAGTTCGCGGACTCAAATCTAAGCCTAACGAAGAACGCCTCCATTCACTAGACCTTTACCCATTAGAGTATGGGCGTCTTAGAGGTGATTTATTAATGGCTTATAGTATTCTTAACACTTCTGGACATCCTCTTAAACACCTACTCAAGCTTAGTTCGAATACTAACCTAAGGGGTAACACCCAGAAACTGGAAACTCAACATAACAAGACGGGATGTAGACACAACTTCTACTCTTTAAGAGTTGTCAAAATCTGGAATTCGCTGCCGGCCGAGCTAGTCCTAGTGACTTCTCAGGAGTCCTTCAAGAGGCAACTTGACCTATTCTTAAGGACCAAGGACAGTATCATACTATGATTTACCAATTTCTTTTATTCTTTTATTGTTAACATTCCTAGGTTCCTGCCTTGAGGATTTGGTGATCCCCTGCTACTAGACACGGAAGCCTGTTAAGCGAAAGCTTCTTCTATTCCGTTCACAACCATTTGAACCATTTTAATTATGATTTGGGTGTTAATATGTCTTATCTTTTTGCTCCATCCAGCACTAATAATCTCCGAGGTCATAGCAAGAAGGTTCATAAACCACGATCTATTAAACTTAAAGTGGGATCCTGTTTTTGTCATCGAGTAGTCAATCATTGGAACGCCTTACCCGAACAAGTGGTATCAGCCCCATCAGTGAATAAATGGTTCAAATACTTTCAAGGTAAAGCTGGACCTTCACTGGAAAGCAATGTGTCAGGATTAACACAGGTTCTTCAACCTACTATCCTTATTACTGAAGACTGACGACTGAATGTTCGAAATGTGTATTGAATATTGAGACTGATTGCCCTTCGCAACTCAGTTTGCTTCAGATTCGAAATTCTAGGTAATGTCAAAGAAAGCTAAACTTGCTTTGAAGTCAATAGCGGATTACTTATTCCTAAGTAAAAGTGCACATGGAAGCATCTATTCTAAAAATAGACACAAAGGTTATTTCCATCCTTGTAACATAATTCCTAATAAATATATATACAGAATTCGAATATGTTACAAATTTACCTTTACAGATGTTGTTTTATTTCAACTCTCTTTATTCCCCATTTTGGTTTATCGGAACGCTAATGACACTCATAATAGAGGTAGATTCTCGAAAATATATTAATTATTAGCTTGATAACTTTGTAGTTCGAATACTTAGACCCCGTTTATAAAGTGATTAATACTGCCGTATTCGTCTTATACTCTGTTTTGGAAGGCCT